GGGCTCGTTTTGTTTTCTTGTGTAAAATGGTGTTTTGGGTGACATAGGAGATGGGTTTCTCTTGGTTTTGGATGTTCTGTGGTTCATGTTTTGACGGGCCGAATGCTCTGTATTAACACTCAGGCTTTAGAATTGTTTGGCCTTGAATTGTTGTTATGTTAATGAATTATTTTTTAAAGTGAATGTTTTGCTGGTGAATATTGTTTTAGGATTTGTGCCCATTGGACGTTAGTTATTTTGGATGGTATAAGTTTTCTTTCCCAAAGACAAAGAAACACAACCACCCATCTTGCACATTTGTTCTTTCTACCATTTTTTTTCTATCTGAAAGTCTTGATTCCGGGAAATCTTAAGGAATACAAACATAGTTGTAGTTCTGTTGAACAAATTATTTGCTGTTTTTTATGTAGTGCAATGTATTCAATGAGGTAGAAAAAATTGTTTTGAAGGAGTGATTGGTGCACATCTTAATTCTTCTTTATTATGGCTGTCTTAACTGAGGTTTCTTGGTGTAATTTCTTTTTCGTTTTATTGTCTACCTACTTTGGACATGGGTGTTGCCCACGTGCTTTGATTTGGTTGTGGAATATCATTTATCGATTTTAGGATGTAAACCTTTATCTTTATTTTGGCACTGCTTTATGTCATATTTTGTGTATTGGAAACTAGGACAGAATGTTATTTGTAGTATTTATTCCCCTTCTAACCTTTTTCCAAATTTGGTATTACATGTCTATTTAAAAGAATTCCCTGAATTTGGTACCCCTCAAGCAATGGTATTTTTTTGAAGGGATTGTTTATTCCTTTGTAAAAGCAACTGCTTTCCAAGTATTTTCTATACTATAATTTTTGAGGATTGCATATCACATATCAATATCATACATTCTTAAACAGAGTCCAACATTGCCATCAGTTACAACAGAAGTCTTTTCCTGCTAGTTGTGGTGGAATATGAATCAAACGAAGCTTCAATCTCCTATTATAAGTCATGTCCATATGCTAATAAAATCATTTAAATATAAACATAGATTTTCTTGATCACTCCCTTTTTCTCACTATGGGACTACCCTCCATCTTATGTACTTTTTTTATCTGGATTCTATAGCTTTTCTCCCACACGCCTAAACCTTCTTCATGTGGGAGATAGACTCGTTGGTATTATGTGGCCCACCATGTTTTCTTACACTACTGTTGACCCCCTTGTACGTATTTTTGATTGATCAATTATGTACAATACTTGCTTAACTTTTGAACTCTTACTCTTTACTTCTTTTAGAAGGGTAGTGGTGGAATTTGAGCATTGGTTACTGTTGGTGGGGTAGGACAACCACAGTTTTTTCCCCATTAGGCAACTTATTTATTTAGTTTCTTTTAGTTGAAAATTTTGCTCTTCATTCGTTGAGGTGGAATTTCCTTATTTGAATTAACTGAATGCTCTTCTATCTTCCAGGATTTGGTTTTAGTCATTTCAGTAATAATTGTGTTATCTTATAGAATTGGTATTTGACAGGCCAGGATTAAGAAAATTATGCAAGCTGATGAGGATGTAGGGAAGATTGCAATGGCTGTGCCTCTTTTAGTTTGTAAGTAATTTTTCATGCATATTCTATTTTTCCTTTTGTCTTCCTCAAACATAATTTACTTTTGGGCTTTTGGGAGTTTATGATATGAATAGTCTCTGATTTGTAATGATTCATGTTTATGCGTTGCAGCTAAAGCACTTGAGCTATTTCTACAAGATTTGTGTGATCGAACATATGAGATAACTCTGAGGAGGGGAGCTAAGACTATGAATGCTTTTCATTTGTAAGTGAAATTCCTATTTTTTATAGTTTCAAATTCGTCTTTTTCAAGTCTGTACAAAGTGGTTACAACTTTTACAAATCCTGCACGTTTCTTTGGTTTTGGAAATATGGTTATGAGAACATCACATCAGGTCTAAATTTCTAATGATAATATGCTCAGTCTCATTTTAATGTCTTAGGATTCTTCTACAGATTTAATATTTCATTGTGAGTGACATTAAATTCCCTGTTCTGCCTAACATGATTAAACATATTAATGACATCCATGGAAGAAAATGTTAAGGTGGTCTTGCTTTTGGAACACATGCTTTTTACCTTCTCTTTCTGGTTTCTAAAAGGTTTACTTCCATCCTTTGCATTTGCAGAAAACAGTGTGTGCAGACTTTTAACGTCTTTGACTTTCTGAAAGATATTGTCAGCAAGGTTCCTGATTTAGGCGGTTCTGTAGCAAATTGCGATGACCATACTGTCAAGAGGAGGTTTGTGCTTTGGTTAATACTATTGTTAGCGGGAACTAGTTTCAGTATGCTGAGTTATGTCTATTTTATATTAGGAAAGTTGCTGAAGATGATAATGATAGCCACCAGGAGCCCAAGAGAAATAACAAGGTTTTTCAACTGTATTCTATTAACTTCAGAAGTTAGCATAATTTTTCTTGTGTGATTACACCTTTTGCCGACTAATTATCACCCACACTGAACTTTTTTTCTGGTTACAAAAGAATTTACTATAGTCATTAGGAAACTTCACTAAGTGGCTGGCTAATGAATTCAACTACATATAGTCTTTAAAACTTTATGAAAGTTTTTGGTGAAAAGTGTTGTTGTAATTGAGCAAACAATAGAATAGCACCTAATCTGGAAATTATAGCTAAATGTTATCTGAATAATGATTTTTTTTTTCATGATTTGAATAGGCGGAGCAGGGACAAACCAGTGGCAGAGGAAGGGGTAGGGGCAGAGGAAGGGGTCGTGGCCGTGGAAATAGAAATGTAGATCAAGAGATGAATTCACAAGCCAAGTGTGCAGAAGATTCTGATGCATTGAAGCAAAATGAAAAGCAGACTCAAAGCAATGAAAGCATGGAAAACGCGTCATCACCTGAAGAAGTTAAGCAGACTTTTCCAGTTAGCAAGCCGGCTCAGGTGTCCATTCGAAATTTTGACTTAAACATGGACCCAGATGAGAATATGGAATCGTTAACATCACCAACTGCTGTTCCAACTAGTTCATCAGCAAAATCAGAAGAGAAACATCATGAGGAATATCCTGGATGGTCCTTGTCTGATATGGAAAAAATGACCATTGATCCCATTCAACTAGCTAACATAAATGGAAGGATTGATGAAGATGAAGAGGATTATGATGAAGAAATGTAAATACACCTGTGTTGGTTTAATGATGACTTCTCATATAGGCCAGTGACTAGAAACTTCTAATGGATAACTAGAGTAGACTTTTTAGGAGCAGTGTTAGACAGATCCTTAGTAGTTAGCAAGATTAGGAGGGATGATAGGCCATTATTCATTAATTGATTAATCTCCTAAGAATCTTTTGTTTTAGGCCAAAAGTGGATACATAGAGTGTTGAAATTAGAAATAGTCAAGGTATTGTAATTTGAGAAATTTTACATGAAGATTTTGGGTGAAGTGCGGCTTAAAATTTCAACAAGTGTTTTATCTGTTATGATTTTGTTCTTTCTTAATCAGATTCGTATCAAGCTTCTCATCGTTTCACATGCTTGTTCTTCATGTTTTTGAGAGAGCATATCTTTGGAACAAACTCACTTCCCTCCTTGCAGAATGATTTGCATCATGGGTGTGTGCGTTTTGATTTTATTTAAAAAATACTAAAAAGTTTTCCATATATAGTAACAATAAGATGAATATAAAATCAGATGTATTTTCCCTTCAATAGTCTCGTAAAAGAAAAATATAAAATATATTTTAGTACTTTTTTTAAAAGGTTTTGTTACATTTTCTTTAATACAATTATGGTTGATGCTCTTAAAAAAATTCCAAATCGGGTTTGAACCCATTGATAATAAAAAAAAGACACGCATAGTGGCAATTTCAGTGATTTATAAGTAATGTGGTTGTTCTATAATTTGTGTTAAAAAGGTGAATAAACTCAAACAACCATAAAAATAAATTTGTGTCTCTTGTTCATTCTAAGACATGCGTGTTTTGCAGAGTCACAATTTGAAGGGAAGTTTATGATAGAGTTGAATCTCCAATTTTGTAGCGAATAAACCGGCTGAGGTAACATCTTTAATAATCACAAATATAGACATTCATAAAAAAACCTCATAACTTACTGAATCAAATATTAATTAATAAAATTTTACCTTATACAACACAATATTTTATTTACAACATACATACAAATGTTTATCATATAATATGTTTATCATATAATTTATCTAACCTATAGACTTATGTGATAAATTTTATAAACTCAACTCACCAAGTTAAAAAGAAAAAAACAGTTTTATCCTTTCAGAAGGATGTTAGTCCATAAGAAATTAAAAAAGAAAGTTTAGTTAAAAAAATCATAAAATTAATTATCAGTAATCAGATGCACTTAATTTTATATGGTTATTTAATTAACTTTTTTAAACTAAACACATCCTCTTATGTTTTCAAAAAGTTGTTAAAATATGTTGTTAAAATATCATCATCCTTTCTTTTCTATTGATATTCTTCTTCAATACTTTACTGACATGAATTTTTCCACTATCATTAAATGTATTCTCTTTTTTCTTTTCTTATTTTAAAAAAAGGAAACCAAAAAACTTTCGTATAGATGAATTAACAACTCCTACAAATTAACTTGTATATACAAATTAACTTGTATATACATGGATTTTAGTTTATAAAAAGTCATTTTTTTCATATTTGTTTTCTTTAAAGTACTTGTCTAGTGACAAAGCTTTGTTGGGATAAAGGGAGCATGTCTTACAATTACAAATGGTAACATAAGAGACGAGTCTTTCATTCTCAATTAGCATTAAGATCAAATCAATAATGTAAATTTCCTTTATTTGGCAACCACAAACATGATGTAGAAAGAAAATAATATGTACTTATATATTGAATAAAATAAAATCTATAAAAGTTACGTGGTTGTATAAAATATGTAAAAGATGTATATAATTATAAAAAATAAAATAAAATTAGAAAAAAAAGACTAATTTTTAAGGTTTCAAAAAAGAACGATAGCCATATAAAGCATCATCATGTTGATTCTCTGGCCAAATCAAGTCACCCAAAACTTCTTCATTTTCAGGTTTTCTCTGGTAGGAAATTTCTGTGGCATTTCTCATATTCAACTCCCCTTGCATGGAAAAATCATCTTGTTCTTGCGAAACCTTTGGTGGATAAAAGATAGACTCCAAATACCCATTGCTACGTGGAGAGCGTGGCACATAATACTGGTTAGTCTCAGCCTGAGAATTCTCTCTCATTATCATTGACTCTTCAAATGTTAAGTCATGACATGATGGCAATGGAGGCAACTCTGATGTAGAAGAAAGGCCATCTAAACATGCATAGTCATCATTCGCGAAATCTCCCTGTAACGCATCACTGCATTTATCAGTTATTAAAACTTGTTATTTTGAGATGAAGGAGAGTGACTCTAATGCAAGAAGGCAACAATCATAAAAATATTGAAATGTTACAACTTACAAATCTGCTTCAGATAGTTGTAGTTCCTCAGGTACCTCAGACAGTTGCATTTCTTGAGGTATGCCAGACGGTTCCATGTTTTCACGTACCATAGAAATTGCTTGTACACACAGTGGTTCATTTGGAGCGTTACTATAATTGTTGAACACCACATGTGGTACATAAGATGATGATGTACCTTGTCGTTGTAGTTCTTCAGGCACCTCAGACAGTTGCATTCCTTGAGGTATGCCAGACGGTTTCATGTTTCCACGTACCATAGAATTTGGTTGCAGTGGTTGATTTGGAGTGTCACTGGAATTGTTGAACACCAGATATGGTACATAAGATGATCTACCTGCTTCAGGTAGTTGTAGTTGCCGAGGTATTTCAGACGGTTGCATTTCTTGAGGTGGTTTCATGTTTTCACGTACCATAGAAACTGGTTGTACAGGGAGTGGTTGATTTTGAGTGTTAAGGAAATTATTTAACATGGCATGTTGAGATGATGTCCCTACTACTTCGTCACGATGAGTGTAGGTAGCTAGAGTAGTGTTTGGGTTGTGGGCATCAAGCACAGGTTTTATGCCATCTGGGTGGAGTTCTAAGCTAACTCGTTTCTTTTTCTTCAGTCTAGTGTTCCAAAAGTTCTTGATTTCATTGTCTGTTCGTCCAGGCAACTAAACCAACACATGGAAGAACATAACATGTAAGTAACTCGATCAAGAAAAAAGTGCTTTTGAAAGAAAATATGTGAAGTAAAAGAACATTCAAACCTCCTGTGCCATTTTAGCCCATTTATTTCCCATCACCGCATGTAACTGAATGACTTTGCTTTGTTCTTCTTTGCTGAATGCACCTCTCCTTAGATCTGGTCTTAGATGATTTGTCCACCTTAAACGACAACTTTTCCCACAACGAAGTAGTCCAGTGTTTTGCTGCACTATGTTCCAATTTCCTGGTCCGTGTTTTGTCACATATTCTGCCAGTATTGCATCTTCTTCTGCGGTCCATGGCCCTTTCCTTAGATTATTTTCCTGTGACTGATTATCATTACTTTGATCCTGATTTGAGAACGAAGACATGCTTGCTATGAAATAGAGAAATCAAAGTTAGTAAATAATATAATATGGTAAAATAGAAATCACCATTAGGGGTTTTGTTACCAAAATAGGCAAAATATATTACCATAATACGAAAATTCAATTCAAATTACGAAAATGGAAAAGTCGTAGGCCCCAAACGACTTCAAATGAAGAAGTCGTGCCCCCTGCACGACTTCACATTGTTCATTTGTTCAGTGTTAAAGTCATGCATCCAAAAACGACTTTAGAGCATGGTAATCGATTACAAAGTCATTTTTTTTATAGAAAATTAAAGTTGTGTGGGGGTTAACGACATCTCTTATTGAAGTCGTGCACCCCTCCCATTCTTATTTTTTATATTTTTTAAATTTTTTATTAATTAAAATCATTTATAATTTGTAAATAATATTTTTAAATGTATTTAATATAATTAAAATTATATCTAATTAATAATTAAATTTTTTAATATTATTAAATAAATAAATTTTATAATTTTAATTATTTTTGTAATTAAATTAATTTTTTTATAAAATAATTTTAATTAAATAATTTATAACTATAATTGTTGTAATTATGTAATTAAAAATTAAAAAAAGAATTATGTAATTAAATTTATTATAATGAAATATAAATAAATTTGTTATAACAAAAACTCATTCTAAATTAAATTTAAGTAAAAATTTATTACAAGTCAATTTATTATAATGAGATATAAGTAATTTTTTTTAATATAATAAATTTAATTAAATTAATTAGGGTTAAATATGTTTTTAATTCTAAACTATAAGGAATTTGTTTTTATAAAAAATTAATTTAATTATAAAAATAATTAAAACCATAAAATATATTTATTTAAAATGTTTTATATACATTTAAATATATTATATAAAACTTATAAATCTTTTTAAATAATAAAAAATTAAAGAAATAAAAGTGTGAAGGGGTGCACGACTTTAAGTAAAGAAGTCGTCAACCCCAAACGTTTTCAACTTTTAAAATTTTTTATTATTTTAAATAGTTTATAATAATTTTTTTATTAATTAATTATAATTTAAAGAAAAGTATAATATGATAATTAAAATTCATAAAATTAAATTATAATGAAATATAATTTTTAAATATTAATTAGATATAATTTATATTATTTTAAATATATTTAAAAATATTATTTATTAATTATAAATCATTTTAATTAATAAAAAAATTAAAAATTAAAAAAAGTAAAAGTGTGTGGGGGTGCACGACTTCTCATATTAAAGTCGTCATCCCCCGGTACAACTTTAATACTTTTATTATTTTTAAGGAAAAAAAGACGTGGTAATCGATTACAGTGTTTGGTAATCGATTACCATGTTCTAAAGTCGTTTTTGGGGTGCACGACTTCAATACTGGTCAAATGAACAGTGTGAAGTTGTGCCCTCTGCACGACTTCTTCATTAAAAATCGTTTGGACCCCTCACAACTTCTCTTTGACCCAAAATTTGTCTATTTTCGTAATATTCCAGACAAATTTGCCTAGTTTCGTGCAAAAGTCCACCATTAGGTTCATACTTGCTAATAGGATCATTATTAAATTCGTAATGCTATATATATATATATATATATATATATATATATATATNTTTCATGATTTGAATAGGCGGAGCAGGGACAAACCAGTGGCAGAGGAAGGGGTAGGGGCAGAGGAAGGGGTCGTGGCCGTGGAAATAGAAATGTAGATCAAGAGATGAATTCACAAGCCAAGTGTGCAGAAGATTCTGATGCATTGAAGCAAAATGAAAAGCAGACTCAAAGCAATGAAAGCATGGAAAACGCGTCATCACCTGAAGAAGTTAAGCAGACTTTTCCAGTTAGCAAGCCGGCTCAGGTGTCCATTCGAAATTTTGACTTAAACATGGACCCAGATGAGAATATGGAATCGTTAACATCACCAACTGCTGTTCCAACTAGTTCATCAGCAAAATCAGAAGAGAAACATCATGAGGAATATCCTGGATGGTCCTTGTCTGATATGGAAAAAATGACCATTGATCCCATTCAACTAGCTAACATAAATGGAAGGATTGATGAAGATGAAGAGGATTATGATGAAGAAATGTAAATACACCTGTGTTGGTTTAATGATGACTTCTCATATAGGCCAGTGACTAGAAACTTCTAATGGATAACTAGAGTAGACTTTTTAGGAGCAGTGTTAGACAGATCCTTAGTAGTTAGCAAGATTAGGAGGGATGATAGGCCATTATTCATTAATTGATTAATCTCCTAAGAATCTTTTGTTTTAGGCCAAAAGTGGATACATAGAGTGTTGAAATTAGAAATAGTCAAGGTATTGTAATTTGAGAAATTTTACATGAAGATTTTGGGTGAAGTGCGGCTTAAAATTTCAACAAGTGTTTTATCTGTTATGATTTTGTTCTTTCTTAATCAGATTCGTATCAAGCTTCTCATCGTTTCACATGCTTGTTCTTCATGTTTTTGAGAGAGCATATCTTTGGAACAAACTCACTTCCCTCCTTGCAGAATGATTTGCATCATGGGTGTGCTTTTTGATTTTATTTTGTAAATCCTACCAAATTGTTTTCCATATATAGTAACAATAAGATGAATATAAAATCAGATGTATTTTCCCTTCAATAGTCTCGTAAAAGAAAAATATAAAATATATTTTAGTACTTTTTTTAAAAGGTTTTGTTACATTTTCTTTAATACAATTATGGTTGATGCTCTTAAAAAAATTCCAAATCGGGTTTGAACCCATTGATAATAAAAAAAAGACACGCATAGTGGCAATTTCAGTGATTTATAAGTAATGTGGTTGTTCTATAATTTGTGTTAAAAAGGTGAATAAACTCAAACAACCATAAAAATAAATTTGTGTCTCTTGTTCATTCTAAGACATGCGTGTTTTGCAGAGTCACAATTTGAAGGGAAGTTTATGATAGAGTTGAATCTCCAATTTTGTAGCGAATAAACCGGCTGAGGTAACATCTTTAATAATCACAAATATAGACATTCATAAAAAAACCTCATAACTTACTGAATCAAATATTAATTAATAAAATTTTACCTTATACAACACAATATTTTATTTACAACATACATACAAATGTTTATCATATAATATGTTTATCATATAATTTATCTAACCTATAGACTTATGTGATAAATTTTATAAACTCAACTCACCAAGTTAAAAAGAAAAAAACAGTTTTATCCTTTCAGAAGGATGTTAGTCCATAAGAAATTAAAAAAGAAAGTTTAGTTAAAAAAATCATAAAATTAATTATCAGTAATCAGATGCACTTAATTTTATATGGTTATTTAATTAACTTTTTTAAACTAAACACATCCTCTTATGTTTTCAAAAAGTTGTTAAAATATGTTGTTAAAATATCATCATCCTTTCTTTTCTATTGATATTCTTCTTCAATACTTTACTGACATGAATTTTTCCACTATCATTAAATGTATTCTCTTTTTTCTTTTCTTATTTTAAAAAAAGGAAACCAAAAAACTTTCGTATAGATGAATTAACAACTCCTACAAATTAACTTGTATATACAAATTAACTTGTATATACATGGATTTTAGTTTATAAAAAGTCATTTTTTTCATATTTGTTTTCTTTAAAGTACTTGTCTAGTGACAAAGCTTTGTTGGGATAAAGGGAGCATGTCTTACAATTACAAATGGTAACATAAGAGACGAGTCTTTCATTCTCAATTAGCATTAAGATCAAATCAATAATGTAAATTTCCTTTATTTGGCAACCACAAACATGATGTAGAAAGAAAATAATATGTACTTATATATTGAATAAAATAAAATCTATAAAAGTTACGTGGTTGTATAAAATATGTAAAAGATGTATATAATTATAAAAAATAAAATAAAATTAGAAAAAAAAGACTAATTTTTAAGGTTTCAAAAAAGAACGATAGCCATATAAAGCATCATCATGTTGATTCTCTGGCCAAATCAAGTCACCCAAAACTTCTTCATTTTCAGGTTTTCTCTGGTAGGAAATTTCTGTGGCATTTCTCATATTCAACTCCCCTTGCATGGAAAAATCATCTTGTTCTTGCGAAACCTTTGGTGGATAAAAGATAGACTCCAAATACCCATTGCTACGTGGAGAGCGTGGCACATAATACTGGTTAGTCTCAGCCTGAGAATTCTCTCTCATTATCATTGACTCTTCAAATGTTAAGTCATGACATGATGGCAATGGAGGCAACTCTGATGTAGAAGAAAGGCCATCTAAACATGCATAGTCATCATTCGCGAAATCTCCCTGTAACGCATCACTGCATTTATCAGTTATTAAAACTTGTTATTTTGAGATGAAGGAGAGTGACTCTAATGCAAGAAGGCAACAATCATAAAAATATTGAAATGTTACAACTTACAAATCTGCTTCAGATAGTTGTAGTTCCTCAGGTACCTCAGACAGTTGCATTTCTTGAGGTATGCCAGACGGTTCCATGTTTTCACGTACCATAGAAATTGCTTGTACACACAGTGGTTCATTTGGAGCGTTACTATAATTGTTGAACACCACATGTGGTACATAAGATGATGATGTACCTTGTCGTTGTAGTTCTTCAGGCACCTCAGACAGTTGCATTCCTTGAGGTATGCCAGACGGTTTCATGTTTCCACGTACCATAGAATTTGGTTGCAGTGGTTGATTTGGAGTGTCACTGGAATTGTTGAACACCAGATATGGTACATAAGATGATCTACCTGCTTCAGGTAGTTGTAGTTGCCGAGGTATTTCAGACGGTTGCATTTCTTGAGGTGGTTTCATGTTTTCACGTACCATAGAAACTGGTTGTACAGGGAGTGGTTGATTTTGAGTGTTAAGGAAATTATTTAACATGGCATGTTGAGATGATGTCCCTACTACTTCGTCACGATGAGTGTAGGTAGCTAGAGTAGTGTTTGGGTTGTGGGCATCAAGCACAGGTTTTATGCCATCTGGGTGGAGTTCTAAGCTAACTCGTTTCTTTTTCTTCAGTCTAGTGTTCCAAAAGTTCTTGATTTCATTGTCTGTTCGTCCAGGCAACTAAACCAACACATGGAAGAACATAACATGTAAGTAACTCGATCAAGAAAAAAGTGCTTTTGAAAGAAAATATGTGAAGTAAAAGAACATTCAAACCTCCTGTGCCATTTTAGCCCATTTATTTCCCATCACCGCATGTAACTGAATGACTTTGCTTTGTTCTTCTTTGCTGAATGCACCTCTCCTTAGATCTGGTCTTAGATGATTTGTCCACCTTAAACGACAACTTTTCCCACAACGAAGTAGTCCAGTGTTTTGCTGCACTATGTTCCAATTTCCTGGTCCGTGTTTTGTCACATATTCTGCCAGTATTGCATCTTCTTCTGCGGTCCATGGCCCTTTCCTTAGATTATTTTCCTGTGACTGATTATCATTACTTTGATCCTGATTTGAGAACGAAGACATGCTTGCTATGAAATAGAGAAATCAAAGTTAGTAAATAATATAATATGGTAAAATAGAAATCACCATTAGGGGTTTTGTTACCAAAATAGGCAAAATATATTACCATAATACGAAAATTCAATTCAAATTACGAAAATGGAAAAGTCGTAGGCCCCAAACGACTTCAAATGAAGAAGTCGTGCCCCCTGCACGACTTCACATTGTTCATTTGTTCAGTGTTAAAGTCATGCATCCAAAAACGACTTTAGAGCATGGTAATCGATTACAAAGTCATTTTTTTTATAGAAAATTAAAGTTGTGTGGGGGTTAACGACATCTCTTATTGAAGTCGTGCACCCCTCCCATTCTTATTTTTTATATTTTTTAAATTTTTTATTAATTAAAATCATTTATAATTTGTAAATAATATTTTTAAATGTATTTAATATAATTAAAATTATATCTAATTAATAATTAAATTTTTTAATATTATTAAATAAATAAATTTTATAATTTTAATTATTTTTGTAATTAAATTAATTTTTTTATAAAATGATTTTAATTAAATAATTTATAACTATAATTGTTGTAATTATGTAATTAAAAATTAAAAAAAGAATTATGTAATTAAATTTATTATAATGAAATATAAATAAATTTGTTATAACAAAAACTCATTCTAAATTAAATTTAAGTAAAAATTTATTACAAGTCAATTTATTATAATGAGATATAAGTAATTTTTTTAATATAATAAATTTAATTAAATTAATTAGGGTTAAATATGTTTTTAATTCTAAACTATAAGGAATTTGTTTTTATAAAAAATTAATTTAATTATAAAAATAATTAAAACCATAAAATATATTTATTTAAAATGTTTTATATACATTTAAATATATTATATAAAACTTATAAATCTTTTTAAATAATAAAAAATTAAAGAAATAAAAGTGTGAAGGGGTGCACGACTTTAAGTAAAGAAGTCGTCAACCCCAAACGTTTTCAACTTTTAAAATTTTTTATTATTTTAAATAGTTTATAATAATTTTTTTATTAATTAATTATAATTTAAAGAAAAGTATAATATGATAATTAAAATTCATAAAATTAAATTATAATGAAATATAATTTTTAAATATTAATTAGATATAATTTATATTATTTTAAATATATTTAAAAATATTATTTATTAATTATAAATCATTTTAATTAATAAAAAAATTAAAAATTAAAAAAGGTAAAAGTGTGTGGGGGTGCACGACTTCTCATATTAAAGTCGTCATCCCCCGGTACAACTTTAATACTTTTATTATTTTTAAGGAAAAAAAGACGTGGTAATCGATTACAGTGTTTGGTAATCGATTACCATGTTCTAAAGTCGTTTTTGGGGTGCACGACTTCAATACTGGTCAAATGAACAGTGTGAAGTTGTGCCCTCTGCACGACTTCTTCATTAAAAATCGTTTGGACCCCTCACAACTTCTCTTTGACCCAAAATTTGTCTATTTTCGTAATATTCCAGACAAATTTGCCTAGTTTCGTGCAAAAGTCCACCATTAGGTTCATACTTGCTAATAGGATCATTATTAAATTCGTAATGCTATATATATATATATATATATATATATATATATATATTCTTTCGTTTTGATTATAAGTAGTAATTTGTATCTCCACATACAACATTATATTTTATTTAACAAATATATGAAACTATGAGTCTAATAAATATCTAGTTTTAGAGAAGAAGAAAAAGATAACTAAGAGAAACAGTCATGCATTATAAGAAAAATTTAAGAGATTTGATGAGAAAAATACCTTTCTCTTCACCAAGCAGTTCAACCTATATGATTAATCACTGATACTAGTTTTTGATACGGTTTGAATCCTGCAGTTATGAACTGTCAAAAAAAATTGTTCTGTACATTCCCAAAACTCTCAAGCATTTAAATCATGACACAGCAATT